CCCACTGGGTGCCCGAGCAGGTTGGATGTTCCTCCACCCCAGCGCATGCCCCACACTGATGGGGTCCCCTTGGCAAGCAGCACCAGGGAGGGCCAGTGGCCAGGGCGCTCACAGTCCCAGCACACCCCAGTCTGCTGTGGACAAGGTCTCAGCCCCATTCTCTGTGGAAGCCTTGGGCGTGGTGGCTCTATTGCCTCTCTTGGCAGCCACAGGTGGGAGAGGGGAAGGGGAGAAAAAGATTCTGGAAAAGTTTGAGCCCCACTGTCTGCAGAAGGCCCGGTGAGGTAGATGCAGCAACAGAGAGGAGAAGCAGTTCCTGTGAGCCCTGCCTCAATAGTCTCTCAGCAGCCATGGCTGGGGCAGGGGAAAGGTGTTAGAAATGATCCGCAGTGTCATTAAGCAAGTAGGCAGACACTGCAAATTGTCTCGGCAAGGCAAAACCTTTACTTGTGGTCGGAAGGGCGCTCAGTGCAGTCAGAGCAGCCAGCCAGCGCTACGGGGGGTTCTCGCCTTTTATCCCCAGCAGACCCATGGCTGTGTCTCACTTTCCATTGCACGATCTTGTTCTTACCCGACTGGCTAGGGGGTGTTGCTAAGACACAAAGAAGGGAGGTCCGGGGCTCTTAGTGTAAATGTTTAAAGTTGGTGGGCTAAGACACAAAGGAAGAGAGGGTAGGGGGCTCTTAGTGCAGTAACTGTTTAAAGTTAGGCACACCAGGGTATGCGGAAGTATGTTACTCCCTGACACTCTGGCAGAAAAGGCCTAGCCAAGGTTATCTCCCCCCCCCACGAGGGAAAGAAAAGAATCTGAGTGAAGAAGAGAGCACTCTGGTCATCTCTGTCCCTCTCCAGAAAGCAGCCCACCCAGAACGTCCAGACGCTGGGGTCATGCAGATCCTGGACCCACCGCGCCCCTGCGGCTCCTATAGTCTGGGCTGGAGTTGGGAAAAGTTTGTGTGTGGAAAGAGCTAGGCGACAGGAAAACAGAGGGGCTGAGGCCCCCTGGGAGGACAAAGGTGCAAGGTGGGTGGAGATCAATATGGCGCCTGCCGTCTGGGCTCCAGTCTGCAGTGATGGGAAGTGACCCGAGGGCGCCAGCTGCCCGGTGCTTGGTCCTCACCAAACCTCCCAGTTCTCTGGCGGGGCAGCTTTTGAGCTGCGAGGTGAGAAGAGCTCTCCGGCAGCTTGGGAGCCCGCTGGCTGCCAGAGCTGTGGGGAGAAATAAGCCGCCCCACTGAAAGAGCAGCCTTGCTGAAATAACAGGAAAATATCGAATCCTGCAATTTCATAACATCTGAAGATCAATCATGAGTCTCCCTACTCCCTGCTCTTTCTCTCCCAAGCTGGCAGGCACCCCGCAGGGTTCCTTGTCACAAACATCTAAAACGAGCTGAAAGACAGAAACAGAAAGGAAATGTAAATCTTTCTCTTACATTTGCCAGAAACTGCTTTCAGAATTTGTTCTACAGCCTCAAGGTGTTCCTGAGGGGCAGGGGTTGCAGGGAGGCTTGGTTCCTGCCCAAAACTATCTCCGGGCAAAATCACAACCCCTGTGATAAGCCCGAATACATTCAGAGATAACCAAGTCTCCAGGAACAGAGAAAATAAGAAAGATGGACAACCTGACTTCTCCTCTGGCAGCTGCCTGCTAATTGCTCCACAACAATTACTATTTTTTCTTCTTCTGTCCCATAAAATCAGCAGACCACTTGGCCTTGGTGGCACCCTCTTCTCTTTTTTGGAATGCCATGCTGGCTCTCGCTCTCCCCCCTTTCTTAGCTCTGTCCTTCTAAAGGATAAACTTTTACTTTTATATCTTTTTTTTTTTTTTTTTTTTTGAGACAGAGTCTCACTTTGTTGCCCAGGCTAGAGTGAGTGCCATGGCGTCAGCCTGGCTCACAGCAACCTCAATCTCCTGGGCTCAGCGATCCTCCTGCCTCAGCCTCCCGAGTAGCTGGGACTACAGGCATGCGCCACCATGCCCGCTAATTTTTTGTATATTTTTTTAGTTGGCCAATTAGTTTCTTTCTATTTTGGTAGAGACGGGTCTCGCTCAGGCTGGTTTCGAACTCCTGACCTTGAGCGATCCGCCCGCCTCGACCTCCCAAAGTGCTAGGATTACAGGCGTGAGCCACCGCGCCCGGCCTTATATCTTTTTTAAATATACTTATTTCTTTCTTTTTTATTCTTCAATTCATAGAAGAAATACGTAATTATACTTTTATATCTTATCTCTGTGTGAGAAGTCTTTCTCCATGCCGCTATGAGCACCTAACAGGCTTTCCATCCTAAATCCACCTACCCTTCTCTCTGGACTCCAAGCATCTCCAGGTTGATCTCGGCCCAAATCCTGCTCCTTCGTGTTCTGCTCCTAAATCTGGGGGCTGAAAGTCCAGGATCAAAGTGTCAGCAGGCTTGGTTTCTTCTGAACCTCTCTCCTAGGCTTGCAGATGGCTGTCTTCTCTTCTCCCTATATAATTCTCCAGTGATCCTCCCGCCTCAGCCTCCCAAAGTTCTAGATTAGAGCATGAGCCACTGTGCTAGGCCAAAGTGCTAGATTCTTTATGAGCAAGTTCTTCCTTGGATATCAGAATAAGTTAGCAAATCCCATAGAATAACATAGATAAATCTAAACCCTGCCAAACGTTAAGCAATACCCCTTAGTGTAGGGTGAGAGTATGTAGAGCTGGTGTATGCAGGGTTGAGAAAATTTCTCTTGACAAAGATAGGATAAAGGAAGAGTTTATTTACTTCCCAAGCAGAAAAGCCCAACGGAGAGAAGAAGAAGAGTACGTTGGTCTGAAATCTGGTTATTCAGACCTTTTATTTAGGAAATGTAAAAAGGAAGAAAGATGATTTATGTTTGTAGTGAAATTAACAGGGTGTTGTGAACTGTCCTATCTGCTCTTTCTCTTTTTCAGCTGTAGACAGATAATAGAATTGGCTGGGTGAAACTATACTATCTGTTCCTTTCTTTTTTTTTTTTTGAGACAGATCTCGCTTCTTGCCTAGCTAGAGTGAGTGCCGTGGCATCAGCCTAGCTCACAGCAACCTCAAACTCCTGGGCTCAAGTGATCTCCTGCCTCAGCCTCCCGAGTAGCTGGACTACAGGCACGAGCCACATGCCCGGCTGATTTTATTATTATATATTAGTTGGCCAATTAATTTCTTTCTATTTTTATGGTGAGACGGTCTCGCTCAGGCTGGTTTGAACTCCTGACCTTGAGCATCGCCCGCCTCAGCCTCCCGAGTGCTAGGATTACAGGCGTGAGCCACGCCGCCGGCTTGTTCCTTTTCTTTAGCCATAGACTGATAGCGGGAATGGCTGTTAGAGATCTTGTCCTCAAGATTTAATTGTGGGCGGGGCGAGGTGGCTCATGCCTGTAATCCTAGCACTCTGGGAGGCCAAGCGGGTGGATTGCTGAAGGTCAGGAGTTCGAAACCAGCCTGAGCAAGAGCAAGACCCATCTCTACTATAAATAGAAAGAAATTAATTAGCCAAGTGATATATATACGAAAAATTAGCCAGACATGGTAGTGCATGCCTGTATTCCCAGCTACTCGGGAGGCTAAGGCAGGAGGATTGCTTGAGCCCAGGAGTTTGAGGTTGCTCGAGTTTGAGGTTGCTGTGAGCTAGGCTGATGCCATGGCACTCACTCTAGCCTGGGCAACAAAGTGAGGCTCTGTCTCAAAAAAAAAAGAATGTTAAGGCCTAGGTCTCCAATTCTCTTGAACTCTTCCTCATTGATGAAAGATAGCTGCTACCGCTCCAGTCATCCCATCTGTATTCCAGGAAGGAGGAGGAGTTGAAGGGTAAAAGGCGCAAGCCAGATGAGTCTGTCCCTTTTAATTTGAAAATAATAGTTTTACTAGAAGCCCTCATAAGAGATTTCCATTTACATACCATTGATCAGGACTAGGTGAGAAAGTTCCTGCTAAGTACAAGGTAGGCTGGAATAAAGTTTACAGCTAGACACATTCTACCCCAACAAAACTGGGTTTTGTTGATAAGTGCAGAAAATAGATATTCAGTCAGCAATTAACAGAATCCATTTAACCAGAGTTCTCCAGAATTTCAAATCATCAATTTCCTGGCTCATAGTTGATCTTTTTTTTTTTTTTTTTGACAAAGTCTCACTTTGTTGCCCAGGCTAGAGTGAGTGCCATGGCATCAGCCTAGCTCACAGCAACCTCAAACTCCTCGGCTCAAGCAATCCTCCTTCCTCAGCCTCCCCAGTAGCTGGGACTACAGGCATGCGCTACCATGCCCGGCTAATTTTTTCTATATATATTAATTGGCCAATTAATTTCTTTCTATTTATAGTAGAGATGGGTTTCCGCTCTTGCTCATGCTGGTTTTGAACTCCTGACCTCCAGCAATCTGCCCACCTCAGCCTCCCAGAGTGCTAGGATTACAGGCCTGAGCCACCACACCTGGCCACTGTGTGTGAACTAAAATGCTCACTGCCCCCCACCGGCTGACTGAATGGACCACCTCGACTGAATGGACCACCTCATGGCCAAAGGAATATTCTAGAGCAAAGTTGCCAGCCAGGAGAAGGGAGGTCAAACAAGCTTTATCATGCCCACCTCCCTTCTTGAAGACTTCCTTTGTAACCCATTAACAGGCCTAAGGGTATGCAAGACAAACCTGCAGGTCCTCAATTTATGCAACAAATAGTGGCTTATCTCTGGTAAACAGTTTATGTTAAAACATTCTAAGTCTTTAGACAAAGCTTCATGTCTTTAGCCAATTACAATCTAAAGAATCTTTAAACCCACCTATCACCTGTAAGCCCCCCCTTCGAGATGGCCCTCCTTTTTGGGCCAAACCAATGTATGCCTCCCATATATTGACTGATGGCTTTACCCGGAACCCTTGTCTCTAAAATGTATAAAAACCAAACTGTAACCCAGCCACATCCGGTCCACTTGCCCAAGGCCTCTTGGCAGTGGCTCCGGGTCATGGTCCTCAAATTTGGCTCAGAATGAATCTCTTTAAAATTATTTTGCAGAGTTTGGCTTTTTTCCGTTGACAGGTATTTATTGCCCACTAGCCACCAACTGCTTCCCGGCCACATGCTGGGCCCTCTGGGTCTCTCCAACCCACTCTAAGGACCTGGAAATGCAGCCACAGTCCAGCTCTCTCTTTCTGGGGGACCAAGGTGCTCCCTGGGGCATACGACATGGCAGAGGGGCCTCAGGGTGAGGGGCAGTAGGACCTAGCAGCATTCCCTGTGGAGAGGGGGCCCTCCTGCACCCATTATGAGGGGTTGCCCCCAAGAAGAGGGCAGGGTGGGCGGGGCTCCCTAAGTTACTTAATGGATGACACGAGTGGCAAAGAGCACGATGAAGAGGACGATAATAAAAACAATCACACAGATGACGACAATCATCTTCACGTTCTTCCACCACAACTTCCGAGCCGCCTTCTGCAATGTCGTCTTGAAGTGCTCTGATGTGGCTTCCAGATCCTCTGTCTTGTTGCGGAGATGGTCCAGGTTTGCTCCTGGGGCCAGGATCCGCTCCACATTCTGGGTCATGATATTCTTGACTCCCTCCACCTGGCTCTGCAGGTTCCGCACTAGATCATTTCCTCCCCCTCCACTGGCTTCCTCCGTGACTCACCTAGGCTGGGGCTGCTTCCTCCCGGGGCAGCGGGCGGCTCACTTCCTGCTTGCTCCAATTTTCCACCCGCCCTGCCCACCACCCATAATTGATCTTAATCCATCTTTTTTTTTGTTGTTTGCTTTCTTTTTTTGATAAGAAAACCTCATATTAATCCATCTTTAAACAAGCAGGAATGCATAGGCAAGACAGATGTGTGTATGCACGTATGTCACAAATTTGTATCAGGGATTTGCAACCAAATTCATTATTAGGATCTTATTTATATCTGTATCTGTACTGTGAGGTTTTGGGGTTTCAAAAATACCAGTTACCCACATTGCATCTCCAGGTTTTGAATCAAATCGAGAAAACAGATGGGGTCAGATCACCTGCTTTATTAATGGTAAAGCTAGATTAAAGAACCTAGATTGCACAGGAAGATAAAATGGAATGCCCTCCTTCCCTCTTGGCACACTTGAGATGAGGTGATAGGAAAAGGTGGGCACACAGAGCACACTTACCCGGTGTCTGGGTCACGCACAGAAAAAAACCCCTCAGTGTGGATGACCTTAATGCCTGCCTTTTGACAAATGCCCTTGAGGAATGCCAACAGAACACAGGCTCCCTTAGTGAGGGAAACAAAATGAAATGACCAAACCTCTTCTACTCTCAATATTTTATGAGCTCTATTCTATTTTATGGGCTCATGCAGGAATGTGGTAAGAGGGCCATATTGCCTGTATATGAAAGATAATTTTTAGGTTACAATTTTCCTGAATAATCCCTGAGTTGTCATTTTATGAGAACATTTAGTAGGGGCCAGAACCTATAAGTACAATTAGAAACCTCAAGCATATTATTTTTTACTGAAATATAATTCATAATAAATGCAAAATAAGCCCAAAGAGAATTTGGCCTGATAAACATGCTTCTCATCGAAATACAATGGGTTCTTGGCTAGGCGCAGGGACTCATGCCTGTAATCCCAGCAATTTGGGAGGTTAAGGTAGGAGGATCACTTGAGGCCAGGAGTTCAAGATCAGTCTGGGCAATAATAGCAAGATCTTGTCTCTATAAAAAAAATTTTAAATTACCAGGCATGGTGGCACACACCTGTAGTTCCACCTACCAGGAGACTGAAACTGAAGGGTCCCTTGAGCCTGGGGGTTTGAGGTTACAGTGAGCTATAATCACATCACTGCACTCCAGCCTGGGCAGCAGAGCTAAACTCTATCTCAAAACAAACAAAAACAAAACAAAAAAAGAGAAATACAATGTGCTCCTAGGATAACTGCTTTTTCTAAGTTGAATGCCAACAAAACATCCACACATACATTGTCAATGTTACACAAAAAAAGTATAAATAGACATAGAAGATATACTTAGAAAAGCAAGACTGCAATTTAGTGGGTGGGAAAAACCAGGTAAGAGGTGAGGATAACTAATGGTGAGTAGATGTGCAAGTGAGAAGATGAGATGTTCAGGATAGAGGATGTAAAGAGTTGGTCCTTGTGATGGTTAATTTTGACTAGGCCACCGGAGTACCCAGACATTTGGTTAAACATTACTTGAGTGTGTCTGCGAGGGTGTTTTTGGATGAAGTTAGAATTTGAAATGAAGACTGAGTAAAGAAAACTGCACCCCCATGTGGGTGGCCTCTTGTAATCTGTTGAGGGCTTGAATTGAAAAGGGAGAATTTGCTCTCTGCCTGCCTGAGCTGAGACATCGGGTTTCTGCCCTTAGACTGGGACTTCAGCATCAGCGCTTGAGGTTGTCAGGCACTGGGACTCACCCTGAACTACACTACCCACTTTCCTGGGTCTCTAACTTGCAGATGGCAGATCATGGGACCTCTCAGCATCTATAATCACATGAACCAATTCCTTATAATAAATCTCTTTCTATATAGCTCCTAATGGTTGTTTCTCTGGAGAATACTGATACAGTGCTACACACACACACACAGAGTTTATTGCTTTCTTTTTACCTACCAGCGTTTTAAGTCTGTTTGTGTTGCTATAAAGGAATACCTGAGGCTAGGTCATTTATTTAAAAAAAAAAGTTTATTTGGCTGATGATTCTGATATCTGGAAAAGTTCAAGACTGAGTACCTGCATCTGGCGAGAGCCACAAGCTGCTTCCACTCATGGCAGAAAGTGAAGGGAAGCCAGTGTGTGCAGAGATCACATGGCAAGAGGAAGCAAAAGAGTGTGTGAGGTGCCAGTCTCTGTTTAACAACCAGTGCTTGTAGGAACTAATAGAGAACTCACTCGTGAAGGAGGCATTAATCTGCTTGTGAGAGATCCATCCCTAAGACCCAAAAACCTTCCATTAGCCCCGCCAACACTGGGGATCAAATTTCAACAATTGATGTGGAAGGACAAACACCCAAACTACAGAGACCAGTGTATTCAGATCCACAGTAGTCAAATCCCTCAGATGATGTACACTATTTCCAGCAAGAACAAAAAATTATTATCAAATGCTTTAATTCTGCAGTGGGGGCAGAATTCCAATTATGGAATTCCTTTAATTCCAATAAAAACAAATGCCAGGCCCCTGACTCAAATCTTAAAACTTGTGAATAGAATTCAGATTCAGACTGTTGAGTGCTATAGACCAGCATGTGAAATGGAGCACATGTGGAAGTGACTCTTGTTTAATTGGAAACATCTGCTGGCACCTTTATCTTCACTGAAATTGCAAAATCTCATCCCTGATTTAGCAAGGTCTTACTGGAAAAAAGTAGCTGTTGAATCGCTAGCCAACGAACTATGGATTAAGACAAAGGAAATTGAAGCTCTAGTCTTGTTAGTTTTTGTCAGTTTGCTTTCTGTATTTTATTTGCCTTCTGGAATTGAAAGGTTGATTTTTCCCCTCCAGATGCATCAAAATAACTGCTGGGAAATCCCCAGAGTAAAAGGCTCAGGGCCAGCTGTGTCCTCAAATGGCCAGCTCTGTCACTATGAAGGCTGTTTATTAGCAAACACAGGACAATCGTGGCCTTAGCTGCCTTGCAGTTCCACTCCTCCAGGACTTATTGCTCCCCTGCAGCCAGTAGACAAGGGCCAATTATTATGAGATACGGCAATGATTTGGAACAGAGCTGATAGACAATTTTGTCTCCAGAGCAGATAGCTTATTGGAGGCCTATTTCAGTGAAGAGATACGGGATTGTTTCCTACCTCCTCTCCTGACAGGCTGACCTAGTATGGTGTGTTTCTTACTAGAAGTCCTACTACGGTAGACTCAGGTAAAAATCTAATTGCTGTTTAATTTTCCTGAGCATGACTTTTTCTTTTTTTTTTTTTGAGACAGAGTCTCACTTTGTTGCCCAGGCTAGAGTGAGTGCCATGGCGTCAGCCTAGCTCACAGCATTACTTTATATCTTTTTTTTTTTTTTTGAGACAGAGTCTCACTTTGTTGCCCAGGCTAGAGTGAGTGCCGTGGCGTCAGCCTGGCTCACAGCAACCTCAATCTCCTGGGCTCAGCGATCCTCTCAGCTCCGATAGTGGGACTACAGGCATGCGCCACCATGCCGGCTAATTTTTTTATATATTTTAGTTGGCAATTAGTTTCTTTCTATTTTTGGTAGAGAACGGGTCTCGGCTCAGGCTGGTTTCGAATCCTGACCTTGAGCCATCCGCCGCCCTCGACCCTCCCAAAGTGCTAGGATTACGGCGTGAGCCACCGCGCCCGGCCTTATATCTTTTTTTTAATATACTATTTTTCTTTCTTTTTTATTCTTCAATTCATAGAGAAATACTAATTATACTTTTATATCTTAATCTCTGTGTGAGAAAGTCTTTCTCCATGCCGCTATGAGCACCTAACAGCGCTTTCCATCTAACCATCCACCTACCCTTCTCTCTGGACTCCAAGCATCTCCAGGGTTGATCTCCCAAACCTGCTCCTTCGTTTTCTGCTCCTAAACTGGGGCTGAAAGTCCAGGATCAAAGTGTCAGCAGGCTTGGTTCTTCTGAACTCCTCCCTAGTTGCAGATGGCTTGTCGTTGCTCTTTCCTCCTATATAGATCTCCTCAGTGATCTCCCGTCACCGGCCCTGCAGCTCGCAAAGTTCTAAGATAGACGGCATGAGCCACTCGTGCTAGGCCAAAGTGCGTAGATTCTTTATGAGCAAGTTCTTCTTGGATATCAGAAGAATTAAGTTAGCAATCCTCATAGAGAAGGTAAACATAGATAAATCTAACCCCTGCCAAACGTTAAGGCAATACCCCGTTAGTGTTAGGTGGAGAGTCTAGTGATCAGAGCTGGTGTATGCAGGTGTGAGAAAATTTCTCTTGACAAAGATTAGGATAAAAGGAAGAAGTTATATTTACTTTCCAAGCAGGAAAGGCCCAACGGGAGAGAGAAGAAGAGTACGTTGGTTCTACGAAATCTGGTTATTCAGAACCTTTTATTTAGAAGAGTAAAAAGGGAAGAAAGATGATTTATGTTTGTAGTGAAATTAACAAGGATGTTGTGAACTGTCCCTATCTGATCTTTCTCTTTTCTAGCTGTAGACAGATAATAGAATTGGCTGTGTGAAACTATACTATCTGTTCCTCTTCCTTTTAGCCATAGAGCTTGATAGCGGGGAATGGCTGTTAGGGAATCTTGTCCTCAAGATTTGATTGTGGGCGGGGTGAGGTGGCTCAGCCTGTAACTCCTTAGCACTCTGGGAGGCCAAGCGGCAGATTGCTGAAAGGTCAGGATTCGAAAGCCAGCCTGAGCAGAGAGCGAGACATCTCTACTATAAATAGAAAAATTAATTAGCCAAGTAATAATATACCAAAATTAGCCGACATGGTAGTGCATGCCTGTAGTCCAGCTACTCGGAGGCTAAGGCAAGAGGATTGCTTGAGCCCAGGAGTTTGAGGTTGCTGTGAGCTAGGCTGATGCCATGGCCACACTCCTAGCCTGGGCAACAAGTGAGGCTCTGTCCTCAAAAAAAAAATGTTAAGGCCTAGGTCTCCAATTCCTGAACTCTTTCTCATTGAGAAAGATACCGCTGCTTACCGCCGCAGTCATCCCATCTGTATTCCAAGAAGGAGGAGGAGTTGAAGGGTAAAAGGCGGCAAGCCAGATGAGTCTGTCCCTTTTAATTTGAAAATAATGTTTACTAGAAGCCCTCCCATAAAGAGATTTCCATTTACATACCATTGATCAGGACTAGTGTGAGAAAGTTCCTGTAGTACAAGAGTAGGCTGAAAATAAGCTTTAGCAAGCTAAAGCTTTCTACCCCCAACAAAACTGGGTTTTGGTTGATAAGTGCAGAAAATAGATTTCAGTCAGAATAACAGAATTCCATTAAGCAGAGTTCTCCCAGAATTTCAAATCAATCAATTCCGTGGCATAGTTGAATCTTTTTTTTTTTTTTTTTTTTTTTGAGACAAGTCTCACTTTGTTGCCCAGGCTAGAGTGAGTGCCTGGCGTCAGCCTAGCTCACAGCAACCTCAAACTCCTGACTCAAGCATCCTCCTCGCCTCAGCCTGAGTGGCTGGGACTACAGGCATGCGCCACCATGCTGCGGCTAATTTTCTCTATATAATATAATTGGCCAATTAATTCTTTCTATTTATAGTAGGAGTGGTTTCGCTCTTGCTCAGGCTGGTTTGAACTCCTGACCTCGCAGCAATCCGCCCCACCCCTCCCAGCCCCCCAGAGTGCTAGGATCAAGGCCTGAGCCACCACAACCTGCGCACCTGTTGTAACTAAAAATAGCTCACTCCGCCCCCACGCTGCGACTGAATGGACCACCTCTGATGGACCAACTGGCAAATATTCTAGAGCCAAAGTTGCCAGCCAGGAGAAGGATCAAACAAGCTATCATCCCCCTCCCTTCCCTTGAAGACTTCCTTTGAAACCCATTAACCAGGCCTAAGGGTATGCAAGAAAAACGCTGCAGGTCCTCCCAATTTATGCAAAAATAGTGGCTTATCTTGGTAAACAGTTTATGTTAAAATATTCAAGTCCTTTAGACAAAGCTTCAGTCTTTTAGCCAATTACAAATCTAAAGAATCTTAAACCCACCTATCACCTGTAAGCCCCCCTTCGAGATGGCCCTCCTTTGGCCAAACCAAGTATGCCCCAATATTGACTGATGGCTTTACCCGGAACCCTTGTCTCTAAAATGTTATAAAAACCAAACTGTAACCCAGCCACATCCAGTCCACCTTGCCCAAGGCCTCTTGGCAGTGGCTCCGGTCATGGTCCTCCAAATTTGGCTCAGAATGAATCTCTTTAAAATTATTTTGCAGAGTTTGGCTTTTTTCCGTTGACAGGTATTTATTGCCCACTAGCCACCAACGTGCTTCCGCGGCCACCATGCTGGGCCTCTGGGTCTCCCAACCCACTCTAGGACCTGGAAATGCACCACAGTCCAGCTCTCTCTTTCTGGGGACCAAGGTGCTCCCTGGGGCATACGACATGGCAGAGGGGCCTCAGGTGAGGGGCAGTAGGACCTAGCAGCATTCCCTGTGGAGAGGGGGCCCTCTGCACCCATTATGAGGGTTGCCCCAAGAAGAGGGCAGGGTGGGCGGGGCCTCCTAGAGTTACTTAATGGATGACACGAGTGGCAAAGAGCACGATGAAGAGGACGATAATAAAACAATCACGAAGATGGAGGACAATCATCTTCACGTTCTTCCACCAGAACTTCCGAGCGCCTTCTGCGATGTCGTCTTGAAGTGCTCTGATGTGGCTTCCAGATCCTGTCTTGTTGCGGAGATGGTCCAGGTTTGCTCCTGGGCCAGGATCCGCTCCACATTCTGGGTCATGATATTCTTGACTCCCTCCACCTGGCTCTGCAGGTTCCGCACTAGATCATTTCCTCCCCTCCACTGGCTTCCTCCGTGACTCACCTAGGCTGGGGCTGCTTCCTCCCGGGGCAGCTCACTTCCTGCTTGCTCCAATTTTCCACCCGCCCTGCCCACCACCCATAATTGATCTTAATCCATCTTTTTTTGTTGTTGTTTGCTTTCTTTTTTGATAAGAAAACCTCATATTCAGCATCACCTTTCTTTCCAAATAAAATAAAAAATAAATAAAAAAAAAAAACCTCATATTAATCCATCTTTAAACAAGCAGGAATGCATAGGCAAGACAGATGTGTGTATGCACATATGTCACAAATTTGTATCAGGGATTTGCAACCAAATTCATTATTAGGATCTTATTTATATCTGTATCTGTACTGTGAGGTTTTGGGGTTTCAAAAATACCAGTTACCCACATTGCATCTCCAGGTTTTGAATCAAATCGAGAAAACAGATGGGGTCAGATCACCTGCTTTATTAATGGAAAGCTAGATTAAAGAACCTAGATTGCACAGGAAGATAAAATGGAATGCCCTCCTTCCCTTGGCACACTTGAGATGAGGTGATAGGAAAAGGTGGGCACACAGAGCACACTTACCCAGTGTCTGGGTCACGCACAGAAAAAAACCCTCAGTGTGGATGACTCAATGCCTGCCTTTTGACAAATGCCCTTGAGGAATGCCAACAGAACACAGGCTCCCTTAGTGAGGGAAACAAAATGAAATGACCAAACCTCTTCTACTCTCAATATTTTATGAGCTCTATTCTATTTTATGGGCTCATGCAGGAATGTGGTAAGAGGGACATATTGCCTGTATATGAAAGATAATTTTTAGGTTACAATTTCCTGAAAATCCCTGAGTTGTCATTTTATGAGAACATTTAGTAGGGGCCAGAACCATAAGTACAATTAGAAACCTCAAGCATATTATTTTTACTGAAATATAAGGGGGTTTCTCGCCTTTTATCCCCAGCAGACCCATGGCTGTGTCTCACTTTCCATTGCACGATCTTGTTCTTACCCGACTGGCTAGGGGGTGTTGCTAAGACACAAAGGAAGGGGAGGTCCGGGGCTCTTAGTGTAAATGTTTAAAGTTGGTGGGCTAAGACACAAAGGAAGAGAGGGTAGGGGGCTCTTAGTGCAGTAACTGTTTAAAGTTAGGCACACCAGGGTATGCGGAAGTATGTTACTCCCTGACACTCTGGCAGAAAAGGCCTATCTCCCCCCCCCCCACGAGGGAAAGAAAAGAATCTGAGTGGAAGAAAGATAGCACTCTGGTCATCTCTGTCCCTCTCCAGAAAGCAGCCCACCCAGAACGTCCAGACGCTAGGGTCATGCAGATCCCCTTGGACCCACCGGCCCCCTGCGGTCCTATAGTCTGGGCTGGAGTTGGGAAAAGTTTGTGTGGGAAAGAGCTAGGCGACAGGAAAACAGAGGGGCTGAGGCCCCCTGGGGAGGACAAAGGTGCAAGGTGGGTGGAGAATCAATATGGCGCCTGCCGTCTGGGCTCCAGTCTGCAGTGATGGGAAGTGACCCGAGGGCGCCAGCTGCCTGGTGCTTGGTCCTCACAAACCTCCCAGTTCTCTGGCGGGGGCAGCTTTTGAGCTGCGAGGGTAGAAGAGCTCTCCAGCAGCTTGGGAGCCCGCTGGCTGCCAGAGCTGTGGGGGAGGGAGAAATAAGCCGCCCCACTGAAAGAGCAGCCTTGCTGAAATAACAGGAAAATATCGAATCCTGCAATTTCATAACATCTGAAGATCAATCATGAGCTCTCCCTACTCCCTGCTCTTTCTCTCCCAAGCTGGCAGGCACCCCGCAGGGTTCCTTTGTCACAAACATCTAAAACGAGCTGAAAGACAGAAACAGAAAGGAAATGTAAATCTTTCTCTTTACATTTGCCAGAAACTGCTTTCAGAATTTGTTCTACAGCCTCAAGGTGTTCCTGAGGGGCAGGGGGTTGCAGGGAGGCCTTGGTTTCCTGCCCAAAACTATCTCCGGGCAAAAATCACAACCCCTGTGATAAGCCTGAATACATCTCAGAGATAACCAAGTCTCCAGGAACAGAGAAAATAAGAAAGATGGACAACCTGACTTCTCCTCTGGCAGCTGCCTGCTAATTGCTCCACAACAATTACTATTTTTTTTCTTTCTCTTTGTCCCCATAAAATCAGCAAGCCACTTGGCCTTGGTGCTGGCACCCTCTTCTCTTTTTTTGGAATGCCATGCTGGCTCTCTGCTCTCCCCCCCTTTCTTAGCTCTGTCCTTCTAAAGGATAAACTTTTACACTGTAATCCTAGCACTTGGGAGGCTGAGGCAGGCGGATTGCTCGAGGTCAGGAGTTCAAAACCAGCCTGAGCAAGAGCGAGACTCCTCTCTACTATACATAGAAACAAATTAATTGGCCAACTTATATATATAGAAAAAATTAGCCGAGCATGGTGGCGCATGCCTGTAGTCCCAGCTACTCGGGAGGCTGAGGCAGAAGGATTGCTTGAGTCCAGGAGTTTGAGGTTGCTGTGAGCTAGGCTGACGCCATGGCACTCACTCTAGCCTGGGCAACAAAGTGAGACTCTGTCTCAAAAAAAAAAAAAGAAAAAGAAAAAGTCATGCTCAGGAAAATTAAACAGCAATTAGATTTTTACCTGAGTCTACCGTAGTAGGACTTCTAGTAAGAAACACACAATACTAGGTCAGCCTGTCAGGAGAGGAGGTAGGAAACAATCCCGTATCTCTTCACTGAAATAGGCCTCCAATAAGCTATCTGCTCTGGAGACAAAATTTGTCTATCAGCTCTGTTCCAAATCATTGCCGTATCTCATAATAATTGGCCCTTGTCTACTGGCTGCAGGGGAGCAATAAGTCCTGGAGGAGTGGAACTGCAAGGCAGCTAAGGCCACGATTGTCCTGTGTTTGCTAATAAACAGCCTTCATAGTGACAGAGCTGGCCATTTGAGGACACAGCTGGCCCTGAGCCTTTTACTCTGGGGATTTCCCAGCAGTTATTTTGATGCATCTGGAGGGGAAAAATCAACCTTTCAATTCCAGAAGGCAAATAAAATACAGAAAGCAAACTGACAAAAACTAACAAGACTAGAGCTTCAATTTCCTGTCTTAATCCATAGTTCGTTGGCTAGCGATTCAACAGCTACTTTTTTCCAGTAAGACCTTGCTAAATCAGGGATGAGATTTTGCAATTTCAGTGAAGATAAGGTGCCAGCAGATGTTTCCAATTAAACAAGAGTCATTCCACATGTGCTCCATTTCACATGCTGGTCTATAGCACTTAACAGTCTGAATCTGAATTCTATTCACAAGTTTTAAGATTTGAGTCAGGGGCCTGGCATTTGTTTTTATTGGAATTAAAGGAATTCCATAATTGGAATTCTGCCCCCACTGCAGAATTAAAGCATTTGATAATTATTTTTTGTTCTTGCTGGAAATAGTGTACATCATCTGAGGGATTTGACTACTGTGGATCTGAATACACTGGTCTCTGTAGTTTGGGTGTTTGTCCTTCCACATCAATTGTTGAAATTTGATCCCCAGTGTTGCGGGGCTAATGGAAGGTTTTTGGGTCTTAGGATGGATCTCTCACAAGCAGATTAATGCCTCCTTCACGAGTGAGTTCTCTATTAGTTCCTACAAGCACTGGTTGTTAAACAGAGACTGCACGTCACACACTCTTTTGCTTCCTCTTGCCATGTGATCTCTGCACACACTGGCTTCCTTCACTTTCTGCCATGAGTGGAAGCAGCTTGTGGCTCTCGCCAGATGCAGGTACTCAGTCTTGAACTTTTCCAGATATCAGAATCATCAGCCAAATAAACTTTTTTTTTAAATAAATGACTAGCCTCAGGTATTCCTTTATAGCAACACAAACAGACTTAAAACGCTGGTAGGTAAAAAGAAAGCAATAAACTCTGTGTGTGTGTGTGTGAGCACTGTATCAGTATTCTCCAGAGAAACAACCATTAGGAGCTATATAGAAAGAGATTTATTATAAGGAATTGGTTCATGTGATTATAGATGCTGAGAGGTCCCATGATCTGCCATCTGCAAGTTAGAGACCCAGGAAAGTGGGTAGTGTAGTTCAGGGTGAGTCCCAGTCCTGACAACCTCAAGCGCTGATGCTGAAGTCCCAGTCTAAGGCAGAAACCCGATGTCTCAGCTCAGGCAGGCAGAGAGCAAATTCTCCCTTTTCAATTCAAGCCCTCAACAGATTACAAGAGGCCACCCACATGGGGTGCAGTTTTCTTTACTCAGTCTTCATTTCAATTCTAACTTCATCCAAAAACACCCTCGCAGACACACTCAAGTAATGTTTAACCAAATGTCTGGGTACTCCGGTGGCCTAGTCAAATTAACCATCACAAGGACCAACTCTTTACATCCTCTATCCTGAACATCTCATCTTCTCACTTGCACATCTACTCACCATTAGTTATCCTCACCTCTTACCTGGTTTTTCCCACCCACTAAATTGCAGTCTTGCTTTTCTAAGTATATCTTCTAT